GGTTAGTAGACATCCTGTATTCGTTTACTAATTAATCGGTTCGTATAATATTCATCGAAGCTCGTAATTTCCCTTCTAATTTTCTATAAAAATAATATTTAATGTGTTGCATTATGTTTCAAGTTTGAACTGGGGTAGAAAGGAGAGAGAAAAAAAATGTTTTGAAGTGGTAGAATCAGATAACAAATGGTGGCTGCCCTGTCGTATCCAGAAAGCGATTAATTCACACGATTGCATCTCGACGACTATTTGCAACATAGTAAATCGATATTTTCGCCTTTCGCCAACGAAAAAATGCATTTAATTTCATTGGAAAAGAAGATGTGCCGGCAGTTCATTCTCTGACGATTCCCTCGATTACGCTATATATTTTCTCGAAAATAAATAGTCAGTAACTGCTTTGCCATTTGGTCAGACACTTCTATATCTTTTTTTCTCCTTTTCTTTCTCTTTAACTTGGTTCTGAAATTTCTTCAAGATGAGCCACTTACTGGAAATATCGTATATCAATTTATTCCAACTTTTTGTCAGCGAAACGATTCAGAATTGAAGCGGCAGAACAATCTTCTTCGGAGATTCTTCCGTTTTCTGCTCAATTTATTTCTTATCAACAAACATTTTCTCGCTGGGGGAATGATAAAAAATTTGCTTCTCTCTTTTTTTTTACTGGAAAATAGTAACCATTTTCTTTATATCGCATAAAAGGAATATTTTTTTCTATTTTAAAATATATTTTTTATTCTCTGAAAATAGTTTCTGACTCAGAGATTTAGATAATTTTTTTTTTTTCTAATTTCAAGATAAGTTGTCAGATGGGAATGATAATTGGTAAAGTGACGAGAGAGACATAAATATTGAAGGAAAATTTTTTTGTAGTTTCTATAATTTTTAATCAGACGATTTAATTTGTAAATTAATTTTCATTTCAAGTATTTTTCTTTTATTGAAGAATTTTCAAGTGGGTAATTTGATTTGATTTCCCTGTTTACGAAAACATTAATTTTTTTTTAAATTATCGGTCAAAAGATTATGTTAAAACTAAATTACTAGACTTTAAATTCACAATTATAATTGTGATGAGGAAAATCACTATTACTGGATTTTCCCCTTTAAGTTAAATTTATAATATTTCGACGCTATTTTAAAAATAAATCAATATTCCCGTAGCTAGGAAAATGAGAATCAAAAGATTAAAAATCTGCTTGTCGACACTTCACTTGCGTGTCAATATTAATAGTTGATATATTTTTCGAGGAGAAAACATTTACGTTGGGAGAGGGCTTAAACAATATTTTTGAAGCACATGCTTCAAGCTTATAGGAGCAGAGAATTTAATTTAACTTCTGAAAGGAATGAAATACAATGATTGGCTAAGTTTACAAACGAGATTGTAAGTTTGCCTTTTCTTTTCTTGTCCTTCAGTTGCATCCTAGAATCTAGGACGACTGAGTTCTAAAGTTATGCGCACATCAAAGGAGCAAGTGCTGCATAAAATTTATAGTATGAGAACAAACACAGATAAATACATTGTAGGGTCATCCGCGCGGCTCATCATGAGAAAATATTAAAAAAAAAAAGAAAAAAAAAGGGGGCGAAAAATATCCGAGAGAAAAAAATCATTTTAATTTTTATTAAAATAATAATTATCATTTCATTAATCGAATGTTCTATCGAACATTCGATTAATGAAATGATAATTATTATTTTATTGGAAATAAAAAAACGAAAATGCAAATGAAGTGCGAGTGGGAATATTTTTTATGCCGCAAGAAATTTATCATCACTTTCGATTCGAGTCGAAAATTTGTAAAATGTTGACATCTTTTTTGAAAGAGTGAAAAAGAATGAAAGAAAGAAATAAAGATACAATCAGTGACCGTAACGAATAATTTCTGTGTCTCTCATTGTAGTCACGCGACTCCATGTTATGACCGATTTTCTCGCATGATAATTACCAAGTGCGCCTACTTTACTCCGACATTTAATTTGCAATTAAATGTCCAAACGCCTTGTTTTATTGGCTAATTGCAGTTGTTCTACTAAAAATTTTAAAACGTTGATGCCTGTGCGCACTGAATCGTAAATAAAGCACAAGACCCTACGGGAAACTTAACGAAACCAGGAAACTTAATTCTTCTAATTTTAATTACACCCCCGAGTCATTATGCATCCACAGAAATCAATAATTGTCGAGAGAATATGCAGTTTCCGCTTTTTTTTTGTTAATTACCTGAATAAAAACAAACATTTTTGAATTAAACAAAATATTAAATAAAACGATAATATTTACTTAATATTAAAAGTAAAGTTTATTTAATATTAAATAAAATATTTATTTAATATTAAATAAACAAATATCTATTTAATATTAACAATAAAGTACATTTTCCGGTAATTTATTCGCAGTTTGAAGTTATTTTTTGTTTCTTAATTTTCTTATAATTTTTATTTTCAAATATTTTCAATTTTAAAATCAACGTATTGAAAATCATCGAATTGTGGCAAAGAATTTTATCAAAAAATTTGATAATAATAAAATTCGTTCAAAGAATTTTATTATTCAGAAAAATAATTAAATTATCGCAAAAAATTTTATTAAAATTTTAAAAAATCCCAATTAAATTCTTTTGAAGAATTTCTTAGAATTTTTTTTTTTAACTAATGGAGTTTCTTTAATAATTTTAATTAAAAATTTTGAAAGCAATTTGATTTTATGAAGAAGAATTTTATTAAAAATTGTATTGAAGATAATTATTGAATTCTTGCGAAGAATTTTACTATTTATATAAAAATAATTTAATTGTTCTGAAGAATTTATTAAAATTTTAAAAATAAATGGATTTTATGTTAATATTTGAAAATTTAAATTCTTTCGAGGAATTCTATTAAAATTGTTTTGAAAAGAATTTAATTTCTGCAAAGGATTTTACTATTTATAAAAATAATTGAATTATTGCGTAGAATTTTACGATTTATAAAAATAATGCAAATGTTTCGAAGAATTTATAAAAATTTTAAGAAATAATTAAATTGTTATGAAGAATTTTATAGAAATATTTGTAAATAATGAAATTTTTTCGAGAAATTCAATTAAAGTTGTTTCGAAAATTATTAAATTTCTTTAAAGAATTAAAATTAAATATATTCAAAATAATTGAATTTATCACAAGAATTTTATTATTTTTTGAAAATAATTTAATTGAATTTCATGGAAATTTTTGAAAATAATTAAATTCTTTCGTGTAATTTTACTCAAATTGGATTAAAAATAATTTAATTCCTGCAAAGAATTTTAGTATTTATAAAAATAGTTAAATTGTTTCGAAGAATGTATTAAAATTTTAGGAAATAATTGAAGTTTATGGAAATATTTAAAAATATTTGAATTCATCCGATTCAATTAAAATTGTTTTGAAAATAATTGAATTCCTGCAAAGAATTTTACTATTTATAAAATTAATTGAATTCTTGCGAAGAATTTTCCTATTTATACAAATAATTACATTTTTTTGGAGGATTTATTAAAATTTTAGAAAAAACTTGAATTTTTTCGAAATGTTTTAAAAATTTTAGAAAAATTGAATTCTTTCGAGGAATTGAATTAAAATTCTTGTTAAAATTGAATTTTATGGAAATTTTTGAAAATAATTAAATTCTTTCGTGTAATTTTACTCAAATTGGATTAAAAATAATTTAATTCCTGTAAAGAATATTACTATTTATAAAATTAATTAAATTCTTGCGAAGAATTTTACTATTTATAAAAATAATTGAATTTTTTCGAAGGATTTATTAAAATTTTAGAAAAAATTGAATTTTTTTTGAAATGTGTTAAAATTTTTTTAAAAAAATTGAATTCTTACGAGGAATTCAATTAAAATTGTTTTAAAAATCATTGAATTTTCGTAAAGATTTTACCATTTTAAAAAATAATTTAATTGTTTAGAAGGATTTATTAAAATTTTAGGAAATAAATGAATTCTTTCGTGAAATTTTATTAAAATTTCTGAAAATATGAACAGTAATAATTAATTTTGTAGTAAATTTTTAAAGTAAATTTTTAAATTTTTTGATTATGAAATTATTTAACAAAATTTATATTTGAAAATAAAAAATTTTGTAATTTGCATAACAATAATAAATTGAATATCACGTTCCGCGCGTAAAATTTTCTAGTTAAATAAATAAATATCTATTTAATAATAAATAAATAAATATCTATTTAATAATAAATAAATAAATTTCTCTTTAACATCAAATAAATAAATATATGCAAATAAAATTGCAACTTGCATTTCAATTTTATTCCTGTTGCTTCTTTCGTTCGTATCAGTTTGAAAACATTTTTACAAAGTTTTTCCAAACTCTGTAACGTATTGTGTTTACCTTCACATATAGCTTTCAGTGATAAATATTCAAACACTTTGTTAACCAGCGAAAAGTTACAAACTTATTATGTAAATTAATTCATTTAAAACTGCAGACAGATGTGATGAGGAAAAAAAAGAACACACATGTTCCATATTAATTGAATATTTGATTAAAAAAATAGATCCTTTTAAATTAGATCGAAATTTAATTTTACAACTTCTTAATAGAAAAGTTTTAATAGAATTTGAAATAAAAACAGTAGTTTTAATGTAGAAAACGATAGTAGTTTCACTAGAAAATATTAGAAGTTTTTATAGAAAATTATAGTCGTTTTAGTGGAAAAGAAAATTTATGACAAGATTTGTTAGAGAGAAACGTCCTCGACCTTTAAAATTTAAACCACTTTACATATGGAACGTATAACCTCAAAATCATTTTTTTAAAGACGTGTCAAAATAATATATTCAGGGAGGAAAAATTTCAAATCACAAAATAAAAAAGTATTAAAGAAAAATATGGTAGGAATAAGCATATGGAATTCGTAAAATGAAGATGAGACCTAATTTCAACTTACATTTTTTTCCTTAATTTGATTAATTTGATTTGATTAAAAAAGTAGGAAATCTTACCTGACAATTCAGGATGTAAATTATCAACCTCTCGATTTTTTTGACTGTGATTAGCGATGGAAAATGTCACTTCTCTTGTTTATGTTATTCTGCCTACGTCAATAGGTTATACACGTCATATAGGTGAACGGTTTGTCTCCATATACACAAAAACTAAATCCAATTACATTGAAATAATCTTTTCTAATCTCCTGATTAAATGATAATCTCACTGGATATATTTGATGAGCAAGGAAACAATTGCTATTCTCACATTAATTCTCCATCCCGATCACCGGCTTTAAATATGTGTTACAACTTGCAGGCAACAATAAAGAATGTCTTGGTCATTAACCACATCACTTGCCTATAGTTGGAAGAAAATATGTGGCTTATGTATAAATCACTATATGAAGAACGTGTCATTTTTTTCATCAAAGAAAACAATGAGTATTTTTTTTCGTTATCTAAACATATTTCATTTACAATTCAAAGTTATACTATTGTGATAAATATGAATTCCGTGTCAAGAATTTGACAGTCCTCACTATTCTCGTTTCACCGCATAACTCAATAAACCGTGACACAGAGCAGATAGACTGCTACCTACGAATTCACGTCGACGTCGTCGTGAAACGCAATGCAATGAGAAATACAAGACACAGCAATACACTAGTCATTGCGCGACTTGAATATAGGCGCGAGTATGACTTCGGTGGTGGTGCGTGGCAAGCATGGCGCAAATGAGCGGGAAATTTTAAATTTACCAAGTAAGTATATAATAGTAAAAATAAAATACTAATATTACAGATGTTTTTAATTAGAAAAATCATAGAAAATATTATTTAAATCGTTAATCGAAATCGAAACTATATACTTCTTGACTTTTTTTTATTTATTTATCTTTTTCTTTTCTAACCCGAAAATATCGAAATATATCGATTGCACTCGAAACTCGAAAGGTTAAGAGTTACCACATGGTAACAGGCAAAATGGCGATGACCATCCCTTGTTTGGCTGGTAAGTCTTTTTAAATGTTTTTTTTTAATTAAAAATAGTGCAAAATTGATTTTATTACCACGTCAAATAATTCTTTCAAGTGAAATAAATTTTTCGCTCGCTTGACAAGTGTTTATTGATAATTATTCACACAATGTGGTGCCCACTAGACACTTCTGGAGTTCAGTCATATTCAAGAAATATCGAGAAAAAGTATTACGTTTTTCAAAATATTATGTATTTTGTTTGTAAATTTTCTATCTACAGTAGTGAATTAATTATTATAATTATGTATGGAGAATATTCTTCATCGTCATTTATCGATTAAATTAACATTTTCGTGATCGCGCAGTATGGGATTTTTTTTCAAAAACAAAAATCCAATTATTGACGTGTTTTAATTTTTATAATGAATTTGTTTTTAATTCAAAACAAACAAAAAAATAGTGCGTGGTTCCAACGGCCTTACCTTAGGACAAGGCCCACCGTCTTACATGACAGAGACTGCATTCTCTCGAGATGACAGCAAGGCATGTAAAACGATGCTATTCAGCCCGGATGGCCGTTATTTTGCCTGGACAAATGGAATTCACGTACAAATTACTCTCTGTGAGACATGGAAGGTCATTGCCAAAATCCCAAGGCCTAAAGTTAGCAGTATACAATTTTCACCGCAGGGAAATTATATTATGACATGGGAGCCGTTTATTGGTATTTTATTTATTATTATCGTCTTTGTAATTTTGAATCTTGTTTTATATTTATTTTGCTATTTATTTTATTTACTATATTAATTTTTTTCTTATTAATTCATTTTTATTGGTACTATTTATCATTATCATTTATACTTTAAAATATAAATTTTGCTAAATAATTTCATAATCAAAATTTAAAGAATTCACTTATTAAGTACAAAATTAATTATTACTGTTCATATTTTCAAAAATTTTAATAAAATTTCACGAAACAATTAAATTATTTTCTAAAATTTTAATAAATCCTTCTAAACAATTCAATTATTTTTTTAAATAGTAAAATCTTTACAAAAATTCAATTATTTTCCAAACAATTTTAATTAAATTTCTCTGCAGAATTCAAATATTTTCAAATATTTCCATAAATTTCAATTATTTTTTTAAATAGTAAAATCTTTACAAAAATTCATTTATTTTCCAAACAATTTTAATTAAATTCCTCGGAAGAATTCAATTTTTTTAAAAATTTTTAACATATTTCGAAAAAATTCAATTTTTTCTAAAATTTTAATAAATTCTTTGAAAAAATTCAATTATTTTTATAAATAGGAAAATTCTTCGCAAGAGTTCAATTAATTTTATAAATATAGTAAAATTCTTTGCAGGAATTCAATTATTTTCAAAAATTTTCATAAAATTTAATTTCAACAAGAATTTAAAATTCTCTAAAAATAATTCAATTATTCTCAAAATATTTTTAAGAAATTCTATATAAAAATTAAATTACTTTCAATGCAATTTTTAAATATATTCGTAAAAAAAATTCAATTATTTTCAAAAAATAATAAAATTCTTGTAATTAATTCAATTATTTTGAATATACTTAATTTTAATAGAATACTTTAAAGAAATTCCATTATTTTAGAAACAATTTTAATTGAATTTCCATAAAAAATTTTATTATTTTTAAATATTTCTATAAAATTCTTCATAACAATTTAATTATTTCTTAAAATTTTTATAAATTCTTCGAAACATTTGCATCATTTTTATAAATCGTAAAATTCTACGCAATAATTCAATTATTTTTATAAATAGTAAAATCCTTTGCAGAAATTAAATTCTTTTCAAAACAATTTTAATAGAATTCCTCGAAAGTATTTAAATTTTCAAATATTAACATAAAATTCATTTATTTTCTAAAATTTTAATAAACTCTTCGGAACAATTCAATTATTTTTATAAATAGTAAAATTCTTCGCAAGAATTCAATTATTTTCAATTCACTTTTAATAAAATTCTTCTTCATAAAATCCAATTGCTTTCAAAATTTTCAATTAAAATTATTAAAGAAACTCCATTAGTTTAAAAAAAATTCAAAGAAATTCTTCACGAGAATTCAGTTATTTTCCTAAATAATAAAATTCTTTGAAGGAATTCTATTATCAAATTTTTTGATATAATTCTTTGCAATAATTCGATGATTTTCAATACATTAATTTTAAAATTAAAAATATTTGAAAAGAAAAATTACAAAAAAGTTTAGAAACAAAAAAGCAAACTACAACTAACTTCAACCTGCGAACGGATTATTGGAATATGTACTTTATTATTATTAAAATTAATAATATTATTTATCATTAAGTTTATTTTTAATTAAATCTATTTTCTTTTGTTATTTCTTCTAATTTTTCTTTTCATATTTTAGCCACGCCAACGAATCCTCAAGGATCTCCTAATCTTCATATTTGGAACTCGGAAAATGGAGATTTAGTGAGAAGTTTCGTTCAGAGAAAACAAATTGACTGGTAGAATAATTTTCAATTTTACATGAACGAATTTTCTATGAACAATTCTTTTAAAAATTATTACTGAATCAATTTTTAATTTTTAATTTTGAAAATCATTAAATTTTTTAAATTTTTGAAAATCAACTTTTAAAGAGTTTTAATTCAAAATTTTGAAAATATTTATTGAATTATCAAACATTTCAATGAAAAATCTTCAAAATAAATTAAAAAATGAAAATTAATGAGAATTAGCTTCTAATTTTTTAAAATTTAATATTTTTAGTATTTTTAATTATATATCTTTGAAAATTCAAATACTTAAAAAAAAATAATAACATTTTAGAATTAATTTTAACACTTTGGAGGAAAAAAATCATGTTCAAAATTTTTAATTGAAATTCCTCAAGAAATTAATTAGTTTTTTTTTTAATTATACACAAAAATTCTTTTATTTTTCTTTTATTAAAAGAATTTTGTCAGGGAAAATAATTTTAATGTCAGAGTCAGAGAAATTGATAATCTGAAACTTGTGACCACTTTGTAAACGAACTATTTTTTTCAGGGAACCACAATGGTCGAGTGATGAGAAAATCTTTGGAATGCTAGTTAATAATGACGTTCTTTTGTATGAGGATGTGAATTTTGAAAAAATTGTACACAGAATAAATTTATCGAAAATCGGTAAATTTAGTATAGCACCAGGATCGGCTCCTTATCATGTACTCTGCTACACGCCAGGTGAATTTTTTTATTCTTTACTCAACAAATTAAAAAAATCAAATAATTATTTATAAAAATTAATTGTTAAAATTAAAAATTCTGTTTAAACTTTAAAAATTAAATCATTTTTTCTTTTTCTTAAAAGGAAAACCCGGTCAAGCGTCAATGGGTCAACTTTTTCAGTATCCGAAATTCGAATCAACACAAACAGTAGCGAGGAAGAGTTTTTTCCAGGTAATTTATTTATTTGAACTTAATTTTCAAGAGTTTTCATATAATTATCTTTTTTTTAAATTAATTACATATTTTTTGAAATTTCAGTCAGATAGAGTCGATATTTATTGGAATCAAAAGGGAACAAGTGTTTTATTAATGGCAAGTACGGAAGTTGATAAAACTTCTTATTATGGAAAACAAACTCTTCATTATTTGGATACAAAAGGCGAAACGGCTTTAGTCAGTTTGGGTGAGTTTTTCTTTTTAAATTATTTTTAATTTATTCATTATTAAGAATTGTTTTTAAATTCTTTAAATTTATTTTATTTTAATTTAATTATAAGGAATTATTCTTAATCTCTTCTTTAAAATTATTTAATTTTAATTTAATTCCAAGGGAATTATTTTTAAACTCTTCTTAAAAATTATTATTTTACTTTGATAATGAATTTAATAATTTTTCAAATAGGCAAGGAGGGACCAATACATGCCGTGGAATGGTCGCCAAAAAATTCCGAATTCTGCGTGATTTATGGTTTTATGCCATCGAAAGCGACGCTCTTCAATATAAAGTGTGAATCGGTTTTCGAATTTGGCGTGAAACATCGCAATAGCATTTATTACAATCCACAGGGGAACAATATCCTTTTTCTGAACGAATTAGAATTTTATTATTTACAATTTCATTGAATTTCTATTATTTCAAATATTTTTGTTTTAATTTATTCATTTTATGTTTAATTGGAAATATTTATTTTTTTATTAGTATTAATTTATTACTTAATTAAATTTAATTATTATTATTATTATTTAATTATCGAATTTTAAGTAGAAATGGAAAAATATTGTTCTTAACCACAGTGCACTGTTATTGTTGAGCGGTTTTGGAAATTTGCAAGGTGGCATTGAAGTGTGGGACATGAATAATCGAAAATTGATTGCCAGTACCGATGCACCTGATACAACTTTACTTCAGTGGTCGCCAAATGGGGAAAATTTTATGACTGCAACAACAGCGCCAAGACTTCGAGTAGGCAATGGGTATAAAAATATTTAATTTAAAATTAAAAAAATTCTTTTTGTTCATGAATTTAAAAATTAAAAATTATTTAATTCCTTTACTTGGTGAATTTTATTATTTTTTAAATATTTCAGGCTTTACACTTTTCTACTAAAACAAACTATTTACTACTTTTTTTACGATTTGCTACTATTTGAATATTTTTTTTTAGATTTGTGACACTAAAAGCTACTTTTTTTCTTTTTCTTTTAGAATTTCAATAAAAAAATTATTGAATTTTGGAAGAATTACAGTTGTAAATTTTAGATAATATTGTTAAATTTCAAAAAGATTTTACACAGTAATCATTTAAAATAGGTATTGTAATTTCTGTAGAATTTAGAATTAAAATTTAGAAAATTATTGAATTTTGTAAAAAATTTAGAATTCAAGTTATTAGCAGTATGAGAAAAAAATGTAAATTTTTTGATGAAAATTAAAGCTACTTTTTACTACTTTCTTAAAATTAATTATTGAGTGCGAGGCCTGACATTTGTTTATTGAATATTTATTAATAATATTTTTGATTATAGGTACAAAATTTGGCACTACACGGGAACATTATTATACGAACGATTTTGGAACAAACAGGATGAATTATGGGAAGTTGTTTGGCAAAATTATCCGTCTTCCGTATTTCCAGAGAAGCCAATTTGTTACAAAGCTGTCGAAGGTATTGCTCCAAGTCAACCTCAGGGTGAGTAATAAATAGTGAAAAATATATTTTTAAAATTCTACAATTTTATTTCTAGATATTTATTCTATAATTTTAGTTCTATATTTTTAAAAGTCTATAAATTAGAAAATTTGATGAATTTTTCCCTTCTTTTTTTAGCATCGAAACAAGCGTACAGACCACCTTCTGCAAGAGGACATACAATTACTTTCAATCTCCACGACGATGATGACGACACTCCGTCAAAGTCAGGAACCGGTAAATTTTTCAATATTCTCTATTTTTTTTGTGTGATAATTTTTTTATGCAATAATTTATTAATTATTAACATTTATATTCATCTGTTTATATTTATATTAATCTTACATTTAATTTACTTTTCATAATTATTATTTTTAATTTATTTTAATTTATTTTTATTTATTTTAATTTATAAAGAAATTTGTTGAGAAACTGTCAATAAATTAAAAATAATGAATCTCTTTTCCAATTAGGAAATGCTTCCAAAGCGTATCTAAAGGCAAAAAAGAAACGCGAAGCTAAAAAAGCGAAAAAAGAACAAGAAGCGCTGGTATCGAAATTAGTGGACGATGACAACGCTTCAAAAGCAAACAGTGTGCCAAAAAATCAATCTTCTACTAAAGACCCTGACTTAACAGATGACGCAGAGAAAAATAAAAAAATAAAGAAAATTAAAAGTGTAAGTACATAAAAAACCTCCGAAATTCCAAATTAATTTTATTTCAAATTTGAAAATCTAATTCTCTAAAAATTAATTTTTATTTCCCCTTCTGCAGAAATTAGACCAAATAACAAAACTAAAGGAACAGCAATCGTCAGGAAAGCAATTGGAAATGAATCAATTGGATAAGATAAAAAAAGAAGCGGAACTATTAAAAGAATTACAAGACTTGTCTTTGTGATAATTTAAATATATTCAAAGATTTTGTGACTCAGTAAATCTTTCTCTATATATATGAACACAGAAACAAAAAGAAGAGAGAGAGTAAAAACATTTCTTTCGTGAATTTTCAATAAAAACCAAAAATCGAAAACGATTTTACAAGAGGAAAGAAATGTTCGAAATAAATTCATTAACACCAGGGATTTTTTTTTGATGATATAAAGATTGTAAATATGATATTTTTTGAAATTTGCAATTTTGCCAATCTTCATTTCTTTTGGTGATGAATTTTTTCTTTTTAAAAAATATTTTTCATCTAAATCTGAGAAAAAGAATCAATGCCTATATATAAAATTAACTTTTTCTACTCCTATAGTATTCGAATCTATTTTTTCTCCAAGTTGAAAGAAAAGGGAAATTTTGTTTCTTCTTTGTAATAATTAAAATCCAATTTACAGAAAATATCCTTAAAAATATTTGATTTTTTAGATTCGACCCGGTGCTCTAAGTAAAAAAAAAGAAAGAAAGCATGTATATACAAAAGAGATATTGCGCAGCAAGGTTTTATTTTAAACGCACTTGATAAAAAAAACGAACTTCAATTTAATTGAACTTTTTAAATATAATTTTGATCTTTTTAATATTTCCACATTTTCAATTTTATTTACAAAAAGAGAAAAAAAACTGAAAGTAAATTTTCTAAAAGTATTTTTTTCTTTTCTCACAATTTTTCTTTTATGTTGAGAATCAGTTTTCTATAAATAAACGAGTCTTGGGAAGTTGTAAATACTGCCTGTTAATTGCCTTTTATTTTTCTTTTAATCACTTTTGTCTTTTAATCATCGTCTTCTTCATCTATTAAACTTCATGTTACTTCGAATTAAAAAATTTTTTAAATGCTCCTTTGTATTTTTTCGTTACATGTTATGTATAAAAGAAAGAAAATTTCAAAGTCTATTCAACAGAAATATTGTTGAATTTCTTCAATAACAGGAAAATTCTAATTTTTGTTGAATTACTAACTATTGTAACATTTTTTTTCTGTTTTTTGTTTTAATTAAATTACATTGTGTACAGTTAATAAAAATTTGATGGAATAAATTATTTGAACAACGAATTATTGTCTATTTACTTGAATTATTATAATAATTATGTTTATTATTAAAAAATAATTATTAGTTTAATAATTTATTAATTTTCATCAATTTACTTCTATTTCTTATTTCGTTTTTTGTTTTAATTAAATTAGATTAATTAGAAAAAAATTTATAATAAAATAAATTATTTGAACAACAAATTATTATTTTCTTAAATAATAATTACGTTTATTATTAATAAATAATAATTTACTACGTAAATAAATAAATAAATAATTTAAACAACGAAGTATTGTCTATTTACTTGAATAATAATAATAACGTTTAGTATTACAAAATAATTATTAGTTTAGTAATTTATTAATCTTCATCAATTTACTTTTATTTCTTCTATTTCTTTTTTCGTTTTTCATTTCAATTAAATTATATTGTAATTAGAAAAAAATTGATAATAAAATAAATTATTTAAACAACAAACTATTTATTTCTTAAATAATAAATACGTTCATTATTAATATATAATAAATAATTATTAGTTTATTAGTAATTTATTATTCTTTATAATATAAAACTTTTTTTTCTGTTTCCAAAAGTTGTTCCTGCGGTTTTATTTTCAAAAATTGGCGCAAAAACTATTTTGCCGCCTTTTTTTCGCTTCCATGTTGGCAGTACTGAGTAGTAAGTTTCAGTTTCGACTTTAATTTAAAGCGGAGTTTTGATTCTTTTTATCATAAAATATTAATAGTATTAACATTGTTAACAGTGAAAATAGTGTGAAAAATAGTTTTTTAAATTTATTTGTGTTATTTTTATCTTAAACCGTCAAGTTCTTGTGTAATTCGGGTAATAATTGCTTTTTCGGCAAAAGCGACAGTGGTGACAGTGTTCCGCAAAAAGTGAGGTTATGTTTTGATAGTCATCATCATGACAGACTGGTTCGTTGCGAAAATAAATTGTTTAATTAAATTAAACAATGTGGAGGAGAAAAAGGAATTATTGGCTGAAATAAAAATAAAGTTACTGGGATTAACCAACAATGATTTGGAATCTGTTTCACGAAATTTGGATCTTGGGAAAGTTTTCTCTCAGTTAACCTTTCAGGACAGGTACATGACTTTGCTGATTTATTGTTTACTCTGTTTACTATTTTTTGTTTCTTATATTTTTAAGAAATTTTTTTTGAAAATTATATCTATTTCAATGTTTTTGACAAATATTTTTGCTAAATGTGTAAAATATTATTTAAATGCACTGGCGACAGTTGTAAAACGAAGTTGAAGTCCACAACGTTGATCAACGAATAACATTCGTTTATTTAATGCATTCAAGTATTATTTTTAATTTAATATTTAATTGTACAATAATTATTATCAAAATAAACATGAATCTTTTTTTTCTAAATATTTTTGTGGCAGTCTTGCTGCGTAATCTTTAATTAATTTAGTTACTTAATGAACAATTTCTTTTTCGTTGATCAACGATGAGAGCTTCAATTTGCTTGTAAATTACACTGATTACACGTAAAAGAAATTTACGATTGTTATGGATTTTAAAGACAAATTTTACGTTCAGGGTAGTCACGAAATTTTTCCACGTTTTTAAAATACATTTATATTTTACAAAATTAAATAACTCCCTGATTTCCAGACAAAAGTTTGACTTTTTCCCTGACTCTTAAGAACTTTATTTTTAAATAAATATTTAATCATTATTATTTTTTCATAGAAATTAAGATTTTCAAAAATTTAAAATTCAATAACATATAAGAATATTATTATAAAACATGAAAATATCAATCACTCCGATTCTTCGACTCGGAGTGATCGCTTTTTTCATGTTTTATAATAATTAAATCTTGCTACTTTGTTACTGTAATTTCTTCAAAAATTATTTTCATTATTTCGATAATTCATTTCTAGAATTTTCAACTAAAATTCTTCTTTAATGTCTTTAATTCAATTTTTTAAAAATAAGTTTTGAAAAACTTCTTTCAGAATTTTCAAATCCTTTTTTTACAATATAATTTTCCGAAATTGCGATTATTCTGACATTCTTCAATTAAATATATTATAAATTAAAAACTTGAAATAATTAAAAAAAATTCCATTAAACGTTTTGAAAAATATTAATTCTGCAAAATTCTTAATTAAAAGTATGAAAAGTTCAAATTTTCAAAGATTTTAATTTGAAACCATTTGAAAATTCAATTATTTCTAAAAATTTACACTATAATGCTTTCAATATTCAATTATAATCTAAATTTTTATCTGAAATTAATTTTTAAATCTATATTTATTAGAAAATTCTACGAAATTCAATTATTTAACTACAAAAATAAATATTTTATTAAACAATTGAATATTTCTTAAAATTAAATTTTCATAAAGAATTTAATCAAAAATTTTTGAAATAATTGAATTCTTTTGACAAATTTTATACAATTTTTGAAAATAATTGAATTTTGGAGAAAAATTTTATAATTCATAAACATAATTGAAATTTTGTCAAGAATTTTTGTAAAGTTTTGAATATAATTGAATTTCTGCGAAGAATTATATTACTTTTGAAAATAATTGAATTCTTGAGACGAATTTTATTAAAATTTCTTCTTTTTAAATAATTGAATTTTTTTGTGAAATTTTATTGAAATAGTAGAAATTGAAAATAATTGAATTTTGACAAAATTTATTAAAATTATTTTGAAAGAAATTAAATTCATACAAAGAATTTCATTAAAATTTTTCAAAATGATTTAATTTTTTGAAAAAATTTAATAAAGTTTTGAAGAATAATTACATTTTTCGAGGAATTCGATTAAAATTGTATTAAAAATAATTGAAATTCTGCCAAGAATTTTATTAAAATTTTGAAGAATAATTACATTTTTCGAGGAATTCGATTAAAATTGTATTAAAAATAATTGAAATTCTGCCAAAAATTTTATTAAAATTTTGAAGAATAATGACATTTTTCGAGGAATTCGATTAAAAATAATTATTAAAAATAATTGAAATTCTGCAATGAGTTTCATTTTTTATGAAAATAATTGAATTCCTGGGAAATTTTTATTATTTATGAAAATAATTAAATGTTTGCGTAGAATTTTATTAAAATATTTTTTAACTAATTGAATTCTTTTGGGAATTTTTATTGAAGTAGTAGATATTAAAAATCATTAAACTAAGGAAAGTTTTTTAAAACAATTAAAATTTTACCAAGAATTTTATTGAAATTTTTGAAAATAATTGAATTTTTGAGAAGAATTTTACTACTTTTAAAAATATTTGAATTTCTGCGATAATTTGTATTTGCTTCAAAATTCAATTTGTTTTAGTGTTTTTAACTAAAACATGTACTTTAGACTATTTTAACTCCTTTTTACACATTTTTACCCTTTGGAAAATTTATTATTTCCTGTCTCTTATAAATATATATTTTAGTTTAATTTTTGAAGAAAAAAATACTCACTTTATACAATTCGACACCGAAAAAAGATTTTTTATTCGAAAATCAATTTGATTTCTCACATTTTTAGAGAATTTCTCGAGATGCTGTGCGAGGTTTTAAAAATAATAATAACAAAACTGGATATTGGCAGTGTTCATCAACGCTATCGAAGAGAGATGTTTCAATTGATGTCGCACTCGAATGGCTCGGTGAAAAATCTTATTCTCGACGAATTATTACGAACCGCTTCTAATTCTTCAGCATTACAACAATTACTCGTCGATAATGAATTACTCGTTGCCGTAACGGAGAAAGTTGCCGACGATGATTTATCAGTGGCACAAAATGCGATGACAATATTGAAAAAAATTGGTGAAACTGCCGATGGTTTGAAAGTTCTCTATTCCAACATTCTCCTGCGAACAATTGCAAAACTTTTGACAAAAAATGATATCATCACATTTCGAGTTTACGAGATTGTCGTCGATATTGCGAAGAAATCGAAAATTGGCCTCGAAGCATCAATACAATCGGGTTTCCTTCAAAGTTTAATAAGAGTCCTGGACAATGACGACGAACTCATTCAACTCAATGCCCTGGAGGCAATGACTGATTTAGCATTAAATGAAGATGGTCTCAAATTTCTCGAGGAGCAGGAAATCCTCGCGAAACTCGCTTCAAAAATAGCGCACTCCAATGAAACGCCACTTTCAAATTTATTCATTCCTGGTCTAATGAAATTTTTCGGTCATGTCTCACGTTTTCGTCCCAATGAAATATTCTCGAAATATCCAATTGTTATCACTGCACTTTTCGATGTTATTGAAAATGGCGACGAGAGTATTTTAGCAGCTGCACTCGATACTCTGGGACATATTTCAACGACAATTGAGGGTAAATACGCATTACAAGATCTTGGCGATAGTATGACGAGGGCTTTGAAAAAAATTGCGGAAATAATTAAAAAAATGCCCACGTACTTTAGATTACGTGCGTTAAATAATCTCGAGATTATTTTGTCGGTGAAGAAATCGGAGCAGGACAATAGAATATGTTCATTGACGAAATCGTGGTTCGATTCACTCGATGAGGAACCATTGAAATTGCTGACTGAACTTTGTAAGCAACCATTCGCCGATATACGACAAGCGAGTTTGCAAATTCTCAGCGTTGTCGCGTCACAAGTTTGGGGTCAGGAATATATTGCGTCACATCCGGGCTTAGTCGAATTTTTACTCGATAGAAATATTGAGAGTTTCAAGGAGTGTAAGGAGGCTAAATTTGAAATTGTTAAAAATCTCTCGAAATCTGTTGACAATATTTTCGATGCAAATACTATGCAAAAATTTAATCATTACGTTAATAATGGTCCGTTCTACGTTGAAACTTACACGGAAGTTGCTATTGAAGGCGCTTCATAATTTTCTTTTGTCAAAAAATTAAAATTTCCTTATAGAAGAATAAATAAAATATAAAAAAAATATTTTAAAAAAATAAAAAAAAATATAAAAATATAAATAAAATATTTTTCAATATTTTACGAATAAAATTTTTTTTTCAAAGAAATATAAATAGTTTTTATATTGTAAAAGCGTTGAAAGCGAAAAAAAAGAGAAAATGAACTTTGAAAAGTTCCATTCATTGTTAATTGAATTTAATATTTGTACGAAATTTAATACAAATTACGATTACTATAAGAGAAATAATTTATTTTTCTTAAATCTAATACAGTATATATAAAATTGAAAAAAGAATTTTTCTACAGACAAAGCTTATAAATAAATACACGAAATTCGAAACTTTCGTTGTGACTTATTTGCAATATTTGATATAATTGAGTCGTTATAACTTATTAACTACAGCGTGGAATAAAAAAAAATTGAGCTTTTTTTTCTCTCCACTGTTTGGTGAATATTAAGAAATAGTATTTTTTTTTTTACCTAAACAATCACTTTACAAAGTCTTGATTGATAATTACAATATGTTTGTATATACAGGGTGAACTCGGTACAATTTACATTTTGATAAAATTTTGCAGCAATTCCGAATAAAAAGAATCTTTTTGTGAATAATTATTTTTTCTTACGTTCGAACTAAGCATAGGCGTAAGAATATCGTGAGAATTGTTTAATGTTTCCTTAATGAAACAATTTTTTAAATTAATTATCAGGCATCACAGTTGGTCCCCTTTTGTCCCCTTATTTCAATTTTATCACCTTTTTTTTGACGATTTGTCACCTTTTTTCCTTTTTTGCTGATTTCTTCCCTTTTTCACCTTTTTCCAATCAAAAATAAACAAGTTTTTCTTTTTTTTTGAAATCTTTTTCGAAGTGTAATCATAAAATTTATTCAACAGAATGCAGACCTTTAGAAAAATAATTAACATTCAAATAATTAAAATATTATTATTAATTTTTTTTTTCTAGAAAAAACAAAAATTCTAGTACAAAACCTTCAATTTTTCTCCACTTCTGACAATAATTTCTTTTTAAATAACTTAATTCTTGAAAAACTATCATAAAATTATAACTTCGAAATTATTTAATGAATAATTTTATTTATACATTTCAAAATTAATTGGTTTTTAAAATAGTTTCGTTTAAAATTTTCATAAATAGATGAACTTCAAAACATTTTAATTTCAAATTTTATAAAATTTCAATTTTTAATGAATTTTATTAGAAATTCTAAAGAACTTAAATTTTTGCAAAAATTTTCAAAATTTAAATTATTCTGAAATTAGTTAAATTTTTTAATGTATATATATTTAATTAATTATTAAAAATAAAGAAATTTACGAGGAATTTTAGTTAAAAATACTAAAAAAAAATTTGAATTTTGGAGAAGTTTCAAATGATTGCAAAAATTCAATTATTTTTAACAGTAATAAAATTCTTCGTAGAAATTCAATTATTATATTAAAAAATTTAAAGAAATTTACGTCAAAATTTCAATTCTCTTTATAAATAATAAAATTCTTTTTCGAAATTCAATTATTTTCGAAAATTTGATTAAATTTTATTTGATAAAAAATTTGAATTATATATGCAAGATGTACAAACAAATAAATTTTTGGCCCCTTTTTGAAGAAAAAATTCCTCATTTCACATTTTTTGAGGAAAAAAAGTACTGTGATGTCTGTAATTTTTAATTTAATTAATTAATATTTAATCTAATTAATTAATTTTGTAATTTAAAAACTTGAATTTAATTAATTTTTTCTTTAAAATTATTATTAATTGTTAATCGCCAGCTCTGTGCTGGTACAATTGAGACCACCTTGTACAAAATACGTAGTTGATAAAAAAAAAAAAACTGACCATTAAAGTAGATGATGAAAATTAAAAAAAAACATGAGAATGAACTATACAACAAATGAAATGAATGTCTTATGGAAACAAAAATATTCTGCTTATTGAATTCGCTTTCGTTTTTTGGGTGATAAAATTTTTAGCATACTGACTACCGGCGCTTCGAATGAAAGCGATACAATAAATGATATAATGTATGACGTAACGAGTTGTCCGAAAAACATAACCATCTGAAAAAAGAAGCAGTCAATTCAATCGTTTTTTTCGAATTAAATGTATTTCTAAATTTTTTCTTTTGGGAAAAAGAAAATTAGAATTAATTTTAGTCCTAATTTTCTTCTTCTTTTTTAATTTAATTCAAATCAATTTTATTCATTATTTTCTTTTTCTTTTTTAATTTAATTAGAAATTTTATTCATAATTTTCTTTTTCTTTTTTAATTTAATTAGAATCAATTTTATTAATAATTTTCTTTTTCTTTTCTAATTTAATTTTGAATTAATTTTATTCCTAATTTTCTTTTTCAAAAAAAAAAAAAAATATTCAACTTAAATTGATGAAGTTCAGATTTATAATCAACAAATTCGAAGAGAAAATTAGCAAATTTGTAAATTTGCTTACAAAAATATTTTTTTCTCTTCGAAATAAATTTTTCTTGCCAATTATATTTCGAGAAGAAAAATTTGTGAACAGAAAAAATTTATTGTTTTGCTCGTGGAAAGTATATTTTTCCCTTTAATAAATTGTTGATTTTAAATATTGAGAACTTCACCGACTGTATTTGTTATTTATTGGTATTTTTTCAATTCTTATTTTGAATTTGAATTTTTTTTTCTTTAAATAAAATAGAAAACAATAATAATAATTAATTACCATTGAATTTTTTCCAAGATGGAATGGAGAGTCCACGTGCATTGCTGTGAGTCGAATCACAATTGGATGAATTAAATATGCACAATATGTTACCCTACTGAAGGGATAAAGTATAGGCGCTGATAAAATTACGTCCACGTAACCTGAGAAATAAATAAATAAATAAATAAATGAGTAAATAAATAAATAAATAAATAACTAGATAAATAAAAAAATAAATGAATAAATAAGTAAATTAATGAATAAACAAATAAATAAATGAATGAGTAAATTAATAAATAGATAAATAAATGAGTAAATAAATAAATATATAAATAACAAAAATAAATAATTAAATGAATAAATAAACAAATAAATAAATTCTTTTTAACATAAACTAATTTCTTTTTTTTTTTGTAAAAAAAGCAGCGTTATTAGTGAATTTTATCTAAAGAGAAACTTTCTAAAGATTTGGAAGTGCCTTTAACAATCCTCCTTTTCTCTTTATGCAAAGTTACATAAATTTTCTCGAGTGAAAGTCACACGGCATTCGTGTTAACTTGAAAATATTTTTACTTTAATTTTAAACAATTCAATTTGTATATCACAAGTGTTAATCACAATTACTTCGTCTAAATTAATTTCCTATTTAAACAAATCTTCACAAAATAGGAAAGAAAAAAAAATTTACCGAAAAAAATATTACAATATTGTAATTTTATTCTATAAAAAGCAAAAAAAAGACAAAAGACAATAATTCTAAAAATGCATATAATTTTTCATCAATATTGTAATATTTTGTTTTTTTATTTGCGAAAATAACTCGACTTTTAAAGGTGAATCGAAACTTTCTAATTCTGAACTTTTGAGTCAAACTTGTTTCTTTTATGACTCTATAAGTTTATAACGACTCTAAATAACATTTAGCAATTTTATTATTTATTTATTTAATTCACTATTGAATAATTCATTTGATTCAATTTTTTTTTTTTTTTTTTTTTTTTGCTGTATATAATACACTATATATAAAGTGAGAAGAAATTATTTTCAATTTGACCCGCTTTCGCATGTTTGAAATATGATAATTTTTAAAATCAACAAAAATTTACCTCCATATCCTGTACTACAGGCGATTACTATCCATGCTAAACCAAGTGCCCAGGCACTGTGACTCAATGATGAATAAGCTGCCGCTGTTATTGGGGAAATTTCGGCTTCATATAAACCGTACAAAAGACTTAGAAGGCACATTGTAGACAGTGTCCATCCAAGTACAACTGTTATCTGAAATTTAAAAAAATAATTTTTACAAAATTTCTTTCCCTCCAGTGGAAAATAACTGATTCAATAAATTGAAATTAATTATTAATTAATTAATCATTTTTAATTATGGACTAATTAATAAATATTTTTTTATTTATTGTCTAATATTAATTAGTCATTTTTACCTATATTTGTTCAATTAATTAAAAATATTTAATTATTATTTGGCTAAAAATTGTAATAATAATTAATTAATAATTTTTACTTATTGTTCAATTAATTAAAAATGTTTAATTAATACTGGGTTCAAAATTGTAATAATAATTTTTTATTTAATAATTAATTAATTATTTTTAATTATTGCTGAGCCAACAATTGAAATAATTTTTTATTAATAATTATAATTAATAATATTTAATTGTTACTGGGCTAAAAATTGTAATAATAATAATTAATTAATAATTTTTACTTATTGTCCAATTAATTAAAAATGTTTAAATATTAGTGGACTAAAAATTGTAATAATAAATATTTATTTAATAATTAATTAATAATTTTTAATACTGAGCCAACAATTGAAATAATTTTTTATTAATAATTAAAATTAATAATTTTTAATTTACCACTGGACTAAAAATTGTAATAATAACGCAATTTTGAATTATTAATTAATCAATTATTTTTAATTATTGTAAGAGAGTTAAAAAATGTTTGAGCTTGACAATACCTTAGACATTTTGACTTTACAATCAGTCTTGAAGAGAAAATAGCCCACGGACATTCCTATTAGATATGGACCCAATCTGGTCCAAGGCTTATCGTAAATCTTGTCGAATAACGCGAGAGGATCGTCAATACTTGGCATGTGATTATTGATAAGAGCAATGTAGCCAGTCGTTATCCACGAGCTCACCATTAGTGTGACCACTGAGAATGCTGCGATTTTGAAATGATTTGTTGCTAAAATTAATATCACGGCTCCAACTACGTAGAATTGTGTATCGTCCGCCACATACCAACTCCAAAGCATACACTGTTGACAATTTAGTAATAATTAATAATAATAATACTAGCTTTTTGTTAAAAGGGTTTTTTTTAAAATTATTTTATAATTAAAAAACCTAAAAATGTATATTTATAGGGATATTTATTACAAAACAATTAATAATGAATATAAATTAATTATTAATTAATAATTAATTATTATTAAATAACCAGAAATTTTATTTAAATTGTATTAAAAATAATTGAATTCTTGCAAATAATTTTATTATTATTTTTAAAAATAAATAAAAAAAAAAGTTTGACGATTTTCGATTTCTTGTCTATTATAAAATAAATGTTTACTTAAATCAAAAAATTTTTATTTGAATCAAAAATTGTTTGATTCACGTAAATATTTATTTGATAATAGACAAGTAATCTGTTATTTGAATCAAATAATTTTTTTCAGTGCAGGAATCTTAACAAAATAATATTGAAAATAATAATTGAATTATTAAGCAAAATTTAATAAAATTTTTTGAAAATAATCAAATTATTTAGAGAAATTTTATTATTGAAAATAATTGAAATCCTTTAATAAATTTTATAAAAAGTTTTTTAAAATAATATAGTATACCTGTGAAGATTTTTATTAAATCTTTTAAAAATAATTGAATTCTACTTTCAAGAAATTTTATTAAAATTGTATTGTAAATAATTGAATTTCTAGGCAGAATTTCATTAAAATTTTTGAAAGTAATTGAACTCCGGTGAAGATTTTTAATATTTTAAACAATAATTGATTTGTTTCGAATAATTGAATTCAATTTTTTCTAAAGAAATTAAATTCTTTTGAGAAATTTAATTAATTAAAACTCTATTGACAATAATCGATTTTTTCAAAGAATTTAAAAAAAATTAAATTAAATAATTGAATTTGAAAAATTTTTTTATTACTGTATTGAAAATAATTGAATTCAGCAGAAGAATTAAGTTAAATTTTTTGAAAATACTTAAATTATATCGAGAAATTCAATTAATTAAAATGGTATTGTAAACACTTTTATAAAATTTTTGAAAATAATTGAATTTTTGCAAAGAATGTCATAAAATTTTTCAAAATTGAATTGAAAATACATTAAATTCCTGCGAAGAATTTTAATAATAATGAAAATAATTAAACTGTCTAGAAAATTTTTTTTTTAATTTTAGGAAAATAATTGGATTTCTGGACTGAATTTTATTAAAATTTTTAAAAATAATTGAACTCTTGCTATTTTTAATATTTTTTGAAAATAATTGAGTTTTTTCGAAAAATTGAAATGATATTTGTTAAAAGTAATAAAATTCTTTTAAGAAATGTAATTAATAAAAATGTTATTGACAACAATTGAATTGTTATAAATAATTTTAATCGATATTTTTGAAAATAATTGAATTTTTGGGCAGAATTTTATTAAAAATTAAAAAAATATTTAAATTCTAGAATTTTTATTAAAATTATGTTGAAACTAATTGAATACCTTACGTAGAATTGAATTTATTTATAAAAATAATTGAACTCTTGCAATGAATTTTATTAGTTATTTATAAAAATAATTTAATTCTTGTGAAGAATTGAATTTATTTATAAAAATAATTGAACTCTTGCAATGAATTTTATTAGTTATTTATAAAAATAATTTAATTCTTGTGAAGAATTGAATTTATTTATAAAAATAATTGAACTCTTGCAATGAATTTTATTAGTTGTTTATAAAAATAATTTAATTCTTGTGAAGAATTGAATTTATTTATAAAAATAATTGAACTCTTGCAATGAATTTTATTAGTTGTTTATAAAAATAATTTAATTCTTGTGAAGAATTGAATTAAAGTTTTTGAAAATAATAATTGATTTTGAGAAATTTTATTAAAATTATATTTAAATTAAAATATTTGAATTTCTTCGAAAGAATTGAATCATTGATGAAGATAATAGATTTTTTGCAATGACTTTTATTATTTATGACAATAATTGAATTCTTGCCTAAGAATCTCAATGCAATTTTTAAAAATTCAAATTTTTTGAAAATAATTGAATTGTTAAAAAGAATTTTATTAAAATTTTTGAAAAAATAATTGAATTCTTGCAAAAAATTTTATTAAAATTTTTCAAAATAATTTTGAATTCTATAAATTTTTTTAAAATTGCATTAAAATAATTAAATTCCTCGCGAAGAATTGAATTATTCATGGAAATAATTGAATTCTTATGAAAAATTTAATTAAAATTTTGAAAATAATTAAATTTGAGAATTTTTTTTAAAATTGTATTGAAATAATTGAATTCCTCGCAAAGAATTGAATTATGTCTGAAAATTATTCAATTCTTGCAAAAATTTTATCAAAATTTTTCAAAATAATTGAATTCGAAAAAATTTTTTAAAAATTGCATTGAAATAATTGAATTCCTCGCGAAGAATTGAATTATTTATGAAAATAATTCAATTTTTGCGAAGAATTTTATCAAAATTAAAAAAAAATAATTCAATTAGTGGAAATTTTTAAAAATTGTATTGAAATAATTGAATTTGTCACGAAGAATTGAAATATTTATAAAAATAAAAAATTGTTTTCTTGCGATTAATTTTGTTATTAATGAAAATAATTAAATTCTTATGAAAAATTTCAATTAAAATTTTAAAAATAATTGAATTAGAGAAATTTTCTAAAAATTTATTGAAATAATTGAATTATTCGCGAAGAATTGAATTATTTTTTAAAAATAATTCAATTGCGAAGAATTTTGTCAAAATTTTTCAAAATAATTGAATTCGAATTTTTTTTTTGAAAATTGTATTGAAATAATTGAATTCCTCGTGAAAAATTAAAATATTTATGGAAATAATTGAATTCTTACGAATAATTTTATCAAAATTTTAAAAATGTAATTGAATTGGGAAAATTTTTTAAAAATTGTATTGAAATAATTGAGTTTCTCGCGAAGAACTGAAATATTTATGAAAATAATTGTTTTCTTGCTATTAATTTGATTATTTACGAAAATAATTGAATTTTTTTGAAAAATTACAATTGCAATTTTGAAAATAATTGAATTTAAGAAATTTTTTAAAAATTATTTTGAAATAATTTAATTCTTGCGAAGAATTTTATCAAAATTTTTCAAAATAATTGAATTTGAGAAATTTTTTTAAAATTATTTTATTGAAATAATTGAATTCCTCGCGAAGAATTGAAATATTTATGAAAATAATTTAATTCAATTCTTATTAAAAATTTAATTAAAATTTCGAAAATAATTGAATTTGATAATTTTTTTTAAAATTGTATTGAAATAATAGAATTCTTCGCGAAGAATTGAATTATTCATGAAAATATAATTGAATTCGTGCGAAGAATTTTATCAAAAATTTTTTAAAAATAATTGAATTAGAGAAGGTTTTTTATAAATTTTTTTGAAATAATGGAATTTTTTCGCAAAGAATTTAAATATTTGAGGCATTCCATGTCAAGTGATCCAGGTGTCTTACGGTGTAATGCTTATTTCGATAATTTTTTACTCTTAAACTATTAAACATAAAAATTTGGCAAGGTACATTTTGGAAAGGTTTTTTCATGCTTTTTCGATTGAAAATAAGCATTTAAAAAAAAAAAAAATTTTTTGACCCAGAAAAATCAAAATTAAAAATAAATTTTAATTTTTTGGAAAAAAGGTCCCATTTTTTTTTTTTTTTTTTTTTAACGAAAGCTGAGGTTTTTTCCTAAAAGGACATATAAATGAAAAAGTGGGACAAGAATGTTTAAACATTGAAAAACAGAGGTTTCTACTCTCTAAACCCGGTTTTTAGCTCTGTTTACGAGAAAATTCATTTTTTCAATGTTTAAACATTCTTGTCCCACTTTTTCATTTATATGTCCTTTTAGAAAAAAACCTCAGCTTTCGTTTAAAAAAAAAAAAAAAAAAAATGGGACCTTTTTTCCAAAAAATTAAAATTTATTTTTAATTTTGATTTTTTTGGGTCAAAAAAATGTTTTTTTTTTAAATGCTTAGTTTTAATCGAAAGAGCATGAAAAAACTTTCCAAAATGTACCTTGCCAAATTTTTATGTTTAATAGTTTAAGAGTAAAAAATTATCGAAATAAGCATTGTACTGAAAAACCCAAAAATTTAACCCCCTCCCCCTCGGAAAATATTGGACTAGGTAAAAAAATATTTTCACGAAAAATTACTATCTATTAGTACTACAAAAGCCCCAAGTTTTGCTACGATTGGAGAAAAATTTTTCTCCACCCGGATCACTTGACATGGAATGCCTCATTTATGGAAATAATGGTTTTCTTTCGATTAATTTTATTATTTATGAAAATAATTGAATTCGCATATGAAAAATTTCAATTAAAATTTTGAAAATAATTGAATTTTTTCTTAAAATTATAGGTAATACATTTTTTGACAATAAGAAATAGTAGTAAATTAGTTAATAAATATTAAAATAAAAATAAAAATGAAATATTTACCATTTGATCGACCGGAAACAGTGTATTGATATACAAGAGATTCCTCCACCAATAATTGGGACAATTCTCATGATCGGCAGTTGGCGTTTCGAAAATGGCATTATAATGAAACCATTTCATTGTCACTTCAACGACTCCCAAGACAAACATGTAGGGCGCTGTTAATCGTGAGAAACGATAGGCGAGGAAACCAATGAATTTTAAAAAACCCGCGACAAAACCTCGAGTGCCTTGCGTTAATTTATTTAAATGTCCCTCGGCATTTGTTCGGAAGTAAAGAAAACTGACGAGCAATCCGCCCATGAAGAAAAATGTGTCAACACTAAAGGCACCATTTGTCACTGTTTGAAAGAGTATATTCTTCTCGACCACTCGACGATATTCCATGTTGTCCGAATATTTAAAGACAACAATACAAGTGTGACCCAATATGACCCACGCCATTGAAATTGCCCTCAAACCATGAATTGTACTTATTGTATCGCGACCAACACTTGGATCGCAAATTGTCCTCATATTCGCCCTCACTGAGAATGATATTAGCAGTTCCTCGCAAACATCTAATTTTGAGGGGAAAAAAAGAAGTTAATAATTTTATTTTTGGTCGTCACTCGATAATATTAAAATTAAAATTAAAATTAAAATTAAAATTAAAATTAAAATTAAAATTAAAATTAAAATTAAAATTAAAATTAAAATTAAAATTAAAATTAAAATTATTTTCGGGTAGATTTTGAAGAAAAAAATTTACACGCTTAAAACATTCGATAAATCAAAATCTTGATAATTTGAAATTTTTTTGTCCTTTGAGATTCAATTTTAAAGTTGATTCATATTTACAGGCCTCAGATTTTTGGATTCTATTTATTCTATTTTCAAAAAATACACTTTTTTTTACTTATTTATAACAATTATTATAAAAAATTGAATTTTTGGAATTGAAATTGAATTCTCAAAGAATTTCTGAAAAATTATAAAAAAGTTTTAAAATAATTGAAATTTTCGAAAATTGAATGGAAAATAATTGTTATTTTCAAAGGATTTAATTAAAATTCTTGAAAATCAAATTTTTGAGAATTTTAATTGCAAATTTTGAAAATAAAATTGAATTCTCCAAAAATTTCAATGGAAAATCTTCAATTGTAAATTTGAAAATAAATAAGTTAACAAAAAGCTTTAAATAATTATGTTAAATATTTTTTAAATTATAGTAATTCTTATATTTTTTTTAATAAATTTTTTGAATTCAATTATTTAAAAAAAAATTGGATGGGAAATAATTGATATACCTATTCAAAGGATTAAATTCAAATTTTGACGAATTTAATTGGAAATTTAGAAAATAATTGAATTCTCAAAAATTTTAATGGGAAATCTTCAAATGTAAATTTGAAAATAAAAGTTAACGAAAATTAGCTTTAAATAATTATATTAAATATTATAATAATTATTAAATATTACTTTAAAAAAAAAACCGTGAAAAGTAATTATATAAAAAAGTGAATTTTTGTATATAAATCTTAAATAATTGAATTCTTGAAAAGCTTTGAAAAAATTTTGAAATAATAATTGAAACTTCATAAAATTATATTACAAAAAATTGTTTTTTTAAAAATATTTCATTAAAATTTTTGAAAATTAAATTTTGAATAATTTTAAATGGAAAATTTTGAAGATAATTGAACTCTCAAGAATTGTAATGCAAAAATCTTTAAACGAAAATTTAAATAAAAATTAATGAAAAATTGACTTCAAAAAATGGTAATACATTATTTTAAAAAAAAGTAATTCTTAGATTTTTTTTTAATAAACAACTTTTTGATTTCAATTATTTTTAATATTTTCGGTAATATATTTTCAATAAATCACCTCAACGACTTTTTAAAAAAATGAAAAAATGAAAAGAAAATAATTGATTTCTCAAAAATTTTAATAGAAAATCTTCAAATGTAAATTTGAAAATAAAATTTAACGAAAATTTACTTTTAATATAATTATATTAAATATTTTTTAAATAAATAATTCATAGAATTTTCTTCATTCAATTTTTTCAAATTCAGTTATTTTAAATATTTTCGGTAATATATTTTCAATAATTTACTATTCAATTAATTTAAAAAAAACCGTGAAAAGTTATGAAAAAAGTGAATTTTTGTATATAAATTTTAAATAATTGAATTCTTGTAAAGCTTTGGAAAAAGTATGAAAAAATTTTGAAATAATTGAAATTTCATAAAAATTTTATTGCAAAAAATTGATTTTTCAAAAATATTTCATTAAAATTTTTGAAAATCAAATTTTGAATAATTTTAATTGCAAATTTCTTGAAGATAATTCAATTCCCAAGAATTTTACTAAAAAGTTGAATTCTTCAAGAATTTTTGAAAATTTATAAAAAAGTTTAGAAGTAATTGAAATTTTGTAAAGTTTTATTGATAATTATTGATTTTTCACAAATATGTCATTAAATTTTTTGAAAATTTTTTGAATATTTAAATTCTAGAAATTTTATTAAAATTATGTTGAAAATAATTGAAGTACCTTACGTAGAATTGAATATATTTATAAAAATAATAGAACTCTTGCAATGAGTTTTATTAGCTATTTATAAAAATAATTTAATAATTCTTGTGAAGAATTGAATTAAAGTTTATGATAATAATTGATTTTGAGAAATTTTATGAAAATTATAATCAAATTTAAAATAATTGAATTTCTTTGGAAGAATTGAATCGTTGATGAAGATAATAGAATTTTTGCAATGTCTTATTATTTATGTCAATAATTGAATTCTTGACAAAAATTTTTTGAAAATAATTAAATTGTTAAAAAGAATTTTATCAAAATTTTTGAAAAAAATGATTGAATTCTTGCGAATAATTTTATTATTTATGAAAATAATTCAATTCTTATGAAAAATTTAAATTAAAATTTTAAAAATAATTGAATTCGAGAAATTTTTCAAAAATTCTATTGAAATAATTGAATTCCTCGCAAAGATTTGAATTATTTATTAAAAATAATGCAATTGCGAAGAATTTTATCAAAATTTTTCAAAATAATTGAATTCGAGAAATTTTTTAAAAATTGTTTTGAAAATTTATGAAAAAGTTTAAAAGTAATTGAATTTTGTAAAGTTTTATTGATAATTATTGATTTTTCACAAATATTTCATTAAAATTTTTAAAGATTAAATTTTGAATTAATTTTACTTCAAAAATTCTGAAAATAATTCAATTCCCAAAAAAATCTAATATATACCTAGAAAATTCTTCAATCGAAAAATTGAAAATAAAAATTAGAGGCAATTAACTTGAAAAAAAATTATATTGAAATATTTTTTAAGAAAGTAATTTCTATAATTTTTTTCATTTCTAGTTTTTTTAATTCAATTGTTTTTAGTATTTTCAATAATTGACCTCAATTAATTTTTTTCTAAAAAAAATAATGAAGAGTTATAGTTACAATAAAAAATAAAATTGAAAATAAAAAAGGTACAAATAAAAAGTTGAAATTTTGTAAATTGAACTGACGAAATATTATATAAATAATAGTTAAAAAGTTTTTAAATAATTTAATCTTTTGTATTTAAATAATTAAACTGTGAAAGAAAACTAATCTCGAATAAAGCACCTTTTGACCCTTAAAGTCGACCCGAGGCCTGTATTTAAAAAAAACTTTTTTTTATTTATTTAATATTCAATTTAATATTTAATATTTATTAATAAAATATTTAAACAAAAAAATAAATTTCTTTTTGTACTGATTTTTTTTTTGTTTAACTTACTCAATTGTTGATAATCCGGAGTTGACGATCGAAGACTACCCTCGTGATCATTATTGTTATTTACTGGACTAGATCCATTAACGACACTTTCCGCTACTGGAACAGGAATGTAGACCTTACCATCTAAATCTGCGGCATAACGATAAGAAAAAAATCTTACGTTGTCAATTAAAAAAACCCCGAAAAAAAAATTTGTTTTTTCCTCTCCTTTCTTTATTTTGTTTTTGAAAAAAAAAATCTGATTATAATTCCGGTCCGAATATTTATAACTTTTCCTGCATCATTATTTTGATATCTATAGGTATGTTTTATATTTAAAAAAAAAATTCTATTTAAAAATCAATGAAAAATTAAAATAATCAAAATGATTAAAAATTATTTACATATAATATACATTTATATAAAATTAATTATACCGAAGTATTCAAGGGCAAATTGCGCTGAAATCCTGTTTTTCAAGAATTTCTACTTTTTTATCCTTATTTGAAAATTTATAATAGGTACACATACACTTCACTGTAGCCCTGAAAAGTATCTCTTCAAATATAAAAACTATTTGCTAATTGAAAATAAATTTCAATTCAATTATATAGTTATTAAATTACAATCAGTGTCCTGTTAAATTACACTATTCTATTGTTTTCAATTTTTCTTCTTCTTTCGAAATGAAAATTTTCTGAAAATCAATTGAAAGAAAAAAAAAGTTTCAATCAGTTCGGTTATTCAACCGGAAATAGTAAAATTAACTCCGGAAATCGAAGAACAGTAAAAATGTAGATATTTTTTTTCATTCTAAAAATATTTTGCAATTCATTTCAAAACCTTTGTTTTACCCCAAAAAGGTATTTATTTTTTATACAGAAAAAAAATCTTGCAAAATTTATTACTAGTCAGAACATAAAAATAATTAAACTAAGAATAAATAAACAGTCAAATTAAAAATAAATAATTTAATTAAAAAAAAAAAAAATTGAATTAAAAATCAATAATTAAATAATTAAATAAAAAATAAGTAAATAATTAAATTAAAAATCAATAATTAAATAATTAAATAAAAAATAAATAAATAATAGAATTAAAATTCAAAAAGTATTTAAATTAATAATAAATAAATAATTTAATTAAAAATAAATAATTTAATTAAAAATAAATAATTTAATTAAAAATAATTAATTTAATTAAAGATAAATAATTGAATTAAAATAATAGAATAATTTAATTTAAGTTATTGAAGATTGCGTTAATTTTTTATACGAATGATATTAGAAGAAAACTATTTGCATTTCGATTTTCGATAGAAAAGAAAAATCGTATTTCTTTTATACATAAAAAATTTATATTTTATTATAAAGAAAGAGAATAAATTATTACCATTTAATGGTTTGTGGTTGCCATTTGTTAATTGCTCGTGTTTAGCGTGCTTTTCAACGTCACACGATTGTCTCTGTTGTTTTTCTAATCTATTGGTGAGATAAACATCGTAGCCTGTACCGACAATCATTAGCACCAGAACCACCGCGCTCACACCACTAAAAATTTTAATGCTATTCTTTACCTCTTACTTTCACTTATTATTGTTTAAAAAAAATTAACTCAATATGCTCTAAAGAATGTTATACAAAATACTTTATTCAAAAATAAATAAAATCAGGTACTACAAATAACAAAAGTAATTTTTATTTTACACTCTATAAAACTGACACTAACAGAAATTTTCTATAGTAATTTTTGTAATTTGAATTTTACCCAGAAAAAACTAAAAAAGATATTTGACTCTGAATGTACTAAATTATTTATTTGGTTCAAATAAATCTTGGTTTGGTTCAAATAAATTTTTTTGGATCAAATTGAAAAAAAAAATTGTCTACTAACGGGGAAAACCGGGAAATAGCCGGGAATTTTTTCACCAAATTAAAAAAAGTTTTATTATTTAAATTTGTTTTTAAAAAATTGCTTTTTATTTCAATTTTTATAGATATTTATATTGTTCTCTAAATTTGAATTAGTTAAAAATAATAATTTTTTTTTTATTATTTTTTTTATTAATTAATAATAATTAATTAATTTGATAGTAAAAAATCAGTCACTGATTCAAATCTAGTCTGTAAATAAATTAAAAAAAAATTATTGAATTAACAGAAATTTTGTGAAATTCAACTGAAAATAATTAAATTTGTTAAAGAATTTCATTAGAAACTTTTTAACAAATTGAATTTTCAAAGTATTTTAATTTAATAATTGATCAATAATTGAATTTTATAAAGAGTCACATTCTAATGTATTCATGTTTCTTATTGCGAAGATTAATAATTAAAATTTTTATTACTTAATTTAAAAAAAGAAACTCACTTAAAATTTTTTAATAAAATTGAATTTTTCCAAAATTCTTTTGAAAATTCTGAAAAATTAGATTTTTGAAATTTTTCAATTCTATTGTCTCAAGATAATTGAATTTTTCTAAACAAACAATTGAAAATTTTTGAAAAAAATTAAATTTCTTTACATTCTATTAAAAGAATTTAATTATTTCTAGAAACTTTAAAAAAATTCTTCTCAAGAATTCAATTATTTCCATAAATAGCAAAATTTTTCGGATTTATTAAATTCTTTTAAATATTATTTAAAAAAAAAATTATTCTTCGAAATTCAATTAAAATTCGTCAAAAGAATTCAATTATTTCTAGAAACTGTAAAAAAATTCTTCTCAAGAATTCAATTATTTCTACAAATAGCAAAATTCTTCAGATTTACTAAATTCTTTTAAATATTATTTAAAAAAAAAATTATTTGCAAAAATTCAATTATTTTCATAAATTTCCATAAAATTCTTCGCAGAAATTCAATTATGTTTAAAAATTTCTTTAAATTCTCCTCAAAATTTCAATTATCTTTGTAAATAATTAAATTGTTCTTCACAATTCAATTTTATTTTCAAAAATTTCAATTAAATATTCTACACAAACATTTAATTATTTTCATTTAAATAATAACATTCTTCAGATTGACTAAATTCTTTTAAATATTATTTAAAAAAAGAAATCTTCACAAAAATTTAATTATTTTCATAAATTTCCATAAAATTCTTCGCAGAAATTCAATTATGTTTAAAATTTAAATATTTTTTTAAATTCTCCTCAAAATTTCAATTATCTTTATAAATAATTAAATTGTTCTCCCACAATTCAATTATCTTCGAAAATTTTAATAAAATTCTACGCAAGCATTTAATTATTTTCATAAATAAAATAACATTCTTTGGAAGGATTTAATTACTTTTATAAATAGTAAAATTCTCTGCAGAAATTCAATTAGTTACATTTTCATAAAATTGAATTAATCAAATAAATAAAATTTTCAATTATAATTATAAACAGACAAGATTATATATTTTAAAAAATGAAAAAAAATTCTTTGTTTAATTCAATTATTCTTCAAATTTTTAATCAAAATTATTAAAAAAAAACATTATATTCAAAAAATTTGAAGAAACTCGTTAAGAGAATTTAATTATTTATAAAAACTCTAATAAAAATTTTGAAAGTTATTTGTAGATTTATTTATGTTCGAAATCAAATAAATTTAAATTTGATGAGAAAAAAAAACCGAGAAATAACTGGAAATTTTGTTGAACGAAAATAGTAGACACGCTGGATCAAATAAATTTTATTTTGTTCAAATGAATTTTATTTGCTTCAAATGAATTTTATTTCATTTAAATAAATTTTATTTGGTTCCATACTCTCTAAATTTGAATTAATAATAATGTTTACTTTTACTTTATTGAATTAGTGACTGACTTTTTGCTGCTGCGAATTAGCAAAAATTTACTAATAAATTAGTAGAAATTTTTATTTACTAGTAAAATTTATTTTAGAGAGTTTGTTTGCTTTAACTATACTTTGTTTGGTTCAAATATACTTTACATGGTTCAAATAAAAATTGTATAATTGCTCTAAATAAAATTTTTTAGTAAAAAAAGAAAATAAATAATCTAGCAGACTTTGTGACAAATATAATTTTATTTGACTCGAATAAAGTAAAGTATAGAATATAGATTGAATAAAAAATTATTTTAGTTATTTGTAGACAGTTTTATGAATAGTATAGAAGGAGAAAATGCAAAAAAAAAAAAAAAAAATTGTATGAGCATTTATCTAAATATCAAAATTACTTACAATAAAATCCAAAACACCGAATCTGTATACATATCGTAATAATTACGTTGGTCTCGAACACTTTCCACTGAGGAATATTTCGACGCAGCATCACTAGCTGCAAATTTTGCTATAATTGCAACGTCCGATGAACTACACGAAAATGGAAGGCAAACTCCAAGATGAATAACTTTTTTCTAAAATAGAAAATTTATTATAATTTTATAATTTTTCCCTTAACAAAAATTAGAGTAGAGAAAAAAAAATTGTTTTCTTAATATTAATAATATTAATATTATTTATTAGATAATAATAATAATAATAATAATAATAATAATAATAATAATAATAATTTATTAATAATATTTATATTAATTTAATAATAATAATATTAATATTAATATTATTAATAATAACAATATTGTTAATAAGATATTATTGAATTTATTAAAAGAAGAATAAATTAAAATATACAGTGAAACCTGTCGGAATGCAACTCAATTTAAATTTTATTACAGTAAACAATCCTTAAAAAATTGTTTTATAATTTAATTTTGTAATATTTTTACAATATTCTAGAATCAAGTGAAAATAATTTTTGTTGGACATTTTTGAATACAAAAAAATTTTAAAAATAGAGTTGCATTCCGACAGGTTCGACTGTAAAGGAAAGTTTATCAATCCTCCAAGTCAATTGATTGACTTGGAGAATTGATAATTTCCTTTAATTATTTACAAAATTTGAATTATTTATTTAATATTAATAGTCTCAAATTTTTTTTTCTTGTACAAATTAGAATATGAAAAAAAAAAATTACCATAGTTAGATACGTTTCGTTTAGGTCGATTTTCAAAATGAAAAAACCTAGTGGATAGGGAGGATCATCAGGAGCATCATCTAGTGAAACTGGAACACCACTTTGTCCAGCATTTATTCTTCTCTTTGGTTCATTGTTAAATTCTTGTATTCCATCATTATTCGATGACGCATAAAATGTTCTCTTTTCATTTCTTTTACCAATAAAATAGCACTCGGTTGCTGAACCAGTGAAATATGAATTTCCCCAAAAATAGCCGTTCGTGTATCTTCCAGACGCATCGTCCACTGAAACAAATTAAGGAATTATAATATTATTATTATATTATATTTTAATGAAAAAATTCTTTGTTTAATTCAATTATTTTCTAGATTGATTAACAATTATTTTCTAAATTTTTAATTAAAATTATAATATTATAATTGTAATAATATTAAAAATCTACTTGTTTAAAAATATTTTTCTTGTTCAGTGAAATTTGGAGGAGTTATAGGTATATATAAATTTTTTCTCGATGTCAAATAATATAAATGATTATTACAAGCAATAGACAACTTTCTACCTTTCTAATTTCTAATTTCATTGGCATATTTGAAAAAGAATATGACACTAAATTAGCATTTCATTTTAATTCGAGCATGATTTGTTTAATTCTATATGTGTTGAGAATAACAGATTTATATTCACTGCTTATGTGAGTGTGTACATAAAAGAAGACGCAGGGAAAGTGTTCCGGTTGATTTATGTAGGTCGTCAATGATGTGACTCTCGCTTACGTAAATACATACATGTGTGTATGATCCTTTATTCCAAAATAGAAATTTCTTTTTATCGCACATTTTATAATTATTACGAAATACTAAAAGGTATTCGACTTACATATTTTATTATTATTATTATTATTATTATTATTATTTTTTTATATATGTATATAATAATTTTTTTCTTTTTTTAAAGAAAAAGAAAAATAATAATATAAAATATGTTTTTTTTTAATAAAAAGTATTCGACTTACATATTTCATTATTGTTATTATTTTTTTATATTTATGTAATAATTTTTTTCTTTTTTTAAAGAAAAAGAAAAATAATAATAAAATACTATAGGTTTTTTTTAATAAAAATTATTTGCTTTACGTATATAATTAATTGATAATTTATTTATTATTCGCGCTCCTTTATTACGCAGGGTAGTCACAAATTTTAGTTTATCAATTTTCCTGACAATTCACTGACATTAAAATTATTTTTCCTAACAAAATTCTTCTTACAGTAGGAAAATATTAATTTTTATGGAAAATGAGTAAAATTTATGAATTGAAATAATTTCTAAAAATTTAAATTATAGGGGAGAGTCTCCAGTTGTGAGACACCTCCAGTTGTGAGACAGTCAATTTTTTTTAACATGCAATATTAAAAAGCCGATTGGTTTATATAAAAACATTTCTTTTTATATGAGCCAACTATTTCGTGTACACCGAGGCGGATATATAAACTGTTTTTGTTAAATACCAACACTGTGTGTGATAATCGACTAAAAAGCGTTTTTTCAAAAAATGCAAAGTACTTTTTTTGCAATTTAATTAATTGAAAAAGGTAAATGTAATGCATTTTCTTTTAGTGTTTTCCTTATATTTTGTGATGCAACATTGCATTGTTCCAATCTACGGTTGAAAATAATTTAATTTTCCTTTTTCAAAATACTGCCAATTTCTGGGTGTGAGACACAGCATATCACCAGTTGTGAGACGGTGTCGACACCCATCTGGGCAGCATAAAAAATACGCATTTGCAGGCATGCTATTTATATGTTGTTTTGATTTTTTTTCGAGTATTTTTGGGCATGTCAAGTGGAAAAAAGTCAATTGATTCAGAAGAAATCAATTTTAATGCTCTTGTTGAAGCTATTAAATTGTGTTTATTTGATAGTCATATTTTGGCGAATAAATATTATTATTTAGTATATAATAATACATATTATTAATATATTTAATTATTTCTACTAAACATAACGTTTTATGTCAAACTTATTAAATTTTAGCAATTTTTAATGAGTGTCTCACAACTGGAGACATTTTTTTTTTTTGAAAAAATCGATGTGCTCGGAAAATGTATCGTAAAATTTTTTGAGTTCATCGAAACACTATACTTTCTTTTAATAAAAGTTGCGTATTTCTGTTACCTTTCGAAAGGTGTATTTTATTTACAATTTCGTTTGCCCGTTTACAATTTACGGGTCAAAAATGAAACCCGTCTCACAACTGGAGACTCTCCCCTAACCCTTTCTAAATTCAATTATTTTCTACAATTTTCAACTACACTTCATCTCTGAATCAATTAATTTAAATAATTTTCCAAAAGTTCTTCTAGAATTCAATTATTTAAATACATAAACTCAATTTTTTATAATAATTGTGACTCTCCATAGTTTTTTTTCTCAAGTTATTAAGGTATAATATTTTTAAAAAATTATAATAAAGAAATTCTTACAATTAATTTTTTTAAAATATTATTTTAAAATAATTTTTAAACGATAATAGTTTTTCAATTTTGAAAAATTTCCAAACAATTAATACTTGGTAAAATCTTTTAAAAATAAATGAATTTTTGAAAAGTATAAATAAAAATGATCAAATTTTTGAAGAATTTTAATTATAAACAGGATCATGATTTCTCAAAAATTTTAATATGTCCAAAAAGTAAATTTTGAATTTTAAAAAATTATTACAAAATGATTCTAATAATTAGTTTTTAAAAATATTTTATTAATGTAATTTTTCGAAAATGTATTTCTTAAAAGAATTTTTGTATAATTTAAAAAAACCAGTGAATTTTCTCATGAATTTTAATTAAAAATTTTGAACATAATTGTTTTCTCCAAAATGTTAAAAATAATTCTAAATTGTTATTATTTTTGGAAATATATCATTGAAAATATTAAAAATATTGGATTTTAAAAAATTAGAAGCTAATTTTCATTTTTAAATTTACATTTAAAGATTTTTCATTAGAATTTTTGATAATTTAATTATTTTTCAAAATTTGCAATTAAAATTCCACTAAAATTTTATTTTTAACAATTTTTTATTAAATTCTTTGAAAATATCAATTTTTTTTATATAATTTTCTAAAATTTCCATTATTTCAAAATTTTTCAAAATTTTTCAAAAATTTTTCGAAAATTCATTTATTGGACTCTCTTAAAACTTTGACTGATTATAAATAAAGAAATTGAGAGTTCAATATGTTTCAAAATTTTGCAATAATTAAAATTATTCAAAATTTAATTTTCCAAAAATTTTAAAGAAATATTTTTGAAAAATCAATTATTTTCAATAAAATTTTATAAAATTTCAAATATTTCAAAACTTTTGTATAATTTTTCCAAAGCTCTTTAAGAATTTAATTATTTAAATACAAAAATTCAGTTTTTTATAATAACTTTTCACGGTTTTTTTTTAAAAGTAATTGATGTAAATTATTGAAAATATATGACCGAAAATATTTAAAATAACTGAATTTGAAAAAAAATTGAATGAAAAAAATTCTAAGAATTATTAATTTAAAAAATATTTAATATAATTATTTAAAGCTAATTTTCGTTAACTTTTAATTTGAAATTTACATTTGAAGATTTTCTATTAAATTTTTTGAGAATTTAGTTATTTTCAAAATTTGCAATTCAAAGAATTTTAATTATTAACAGGGCCATGATTTCTCAAAAATTTTAATAATTCCTAAAAGTAAATTTTCAATCTTAAAAAATTATTACAAAACAATTCTACTACGTAGTTTTTAAAAATATTTTATTAATGTAATTTTTCGAAAATGTATTTCTTAAAAGAATTTTTGTATAAAATTTAAAAAAAACTAATGAATTTTTTGATGAATTTTAATTTATAATTTTGAACATTATTGTTTTCTCTAAAATGTTAAAAAAATAATTCTAAAATGTTATTATTTTTGGAAATATGTAATTGAAAATATTAAAAATATTGAATTTTAAAAAATTGGAAGCCATTTTTCATTTTTAAATTTACCTTTTTAAAGATTTTCCATTAAAATTTTTGATAATTTAATTATTTTCAAAATTTGCAATTAAAATTCGTCAAAAGTTCATTTTCAAAAATTGGAACAAAATACTTGAAATAAATAAATTATTTTCCATTAAATTTTACAAAATTTTAACTATTCAAAAACAATTTTTGAAAGTTTTGTTTATAGTTATTTTTTGCATTATAAAAATCAAAATAAATTGCACTTTTTTTTTTTTTTACTAAAAATTGAGGTATTTTGTTGTAATGTTTTGAAGAAAAGTCGAAAAAGTCTCAATTTTCTTAATTTCCTTGACAAAAAATTTCTTTAATGACAATTTACCTGACTTAACTGACAAAAATTTTGTCAAAAAAAAATTAATGTTCAAAAATTTTTTTTTTTTAATTTTTTAAAAAATTTTTTTGTTTACAGCCTACTTTTATTCAAATTTGTTGAAAGATTTAGAGAAGGAGCTTGTTTATTTTCTGTTTTTTTCAAATTCCATTCACTATTTTTTTTATGAGAGGTCATTGAAATTACAAATAACTAAAATTTGCGTATTTATAATTTGACACCAAAAGAGGCTGAGTAGAATGATAACGAAGGTTATTTCTAACGAGGCTGTTTCAAGCATTTAAAATAATAATAGAGTTGAATACAATTTCCCCTTGAAATGAAGATGGTTATTATAGGTACAATTTTTTTTTTCAAGTCAAAAATCACTTTTAAGAAGACACTTTTTTTTCACGCATATTATATTGAGGTGTGAATTAAAAATAATTTTTGCTAAATCTTTTTCTTATGGTTTATGTTAATTATTTTAATTCACACTGAAAAAGAAATTTATTTGATTCAAATAAACGATTACTTGTTTATTATTAAATAAATATTTCATTGAATCAAATAATTTTTATTTGAAAACAATTAAATCGTATTTGAATCAAATAATTTTCATTTCAGTCAATTAAATGGTAATTCAATTAAATAATTTTTATTTCAGTCATTTAAATCGTATTTGAATCAAATAATTTCTATTTGAGTCAATTAAGTGGTATTTGAATCAAATAATTTTTATTTGAAAACAATTAAATCGTATTTGAATCAAATAATTTTTATTTCAGTCAATTAAATGGTATTTCAATTAAATAATTTTTATTTCAGTCATTTAAATCGTATTTGAATCAAATAATTTCTATTTGAGTCAACTAAGTGGTATTTGAATCAAATAATTTTTATTTGAGTCAATTAAATCG